TGTGAGATAGCTGCACAGAGTGCACCGCTCCGAATACCGCTGCAAGTGCCACAAGTGTGAACATGCTATTGCACAGGCAACCGACAGTGTGAACGCACAACAGCAGTTTTCCTTCAGCGCTCTCTGAGCGGCGCTGTAACTCTGCCAGTGTAGACATACCCTAAGGCTCTATACATAGACAAAGTTTGCCAGATGAAAATCTTCAGCTCTTGATTGAGGTGATCAGTAGATCATAGGTTTTTCAAGGTGGCTGCTTCAGTTCATTCCCATTTCTTTGGAATTATAAACAGGATCATTGATATCAACTGTGGTTAATAATCTCTAGTACATGGTAAGAACATGAGAACATAAGAATGGCCGTACTGGGTCAGACCAAAGGTCCATTCAGCCCAGTATCCTGTCTACCGACAGTGGCCAATGCCAGGTGCCCCAGAGGGAGTGAACCTAACACGTAATGATCAAGTGATCTCTCTCCTGCCGTCCATCACCACCTCCAATACTCTCTCCTGTGTCCGTCAAACACATTGTTACCTATAAATCAAGCCACCCCAGCTATCATTGAATCTTTTGGGGCTTAAGTGTAGGATTTATGGTGGGCCAGCCTGTGAGTTTATGTCATTCTTGACTTGTCCTCTTAGACAGTGTATTGGGTTGAAAAATTTAGTGTTATCAAATTCCTACTTTTTCACCTGTCTTTAATCTAGGCATTATGTTTGATCTAGATTTGAAACTCCACAAAACAAAGTGGATTGCTCTGTTGTATTTATTTATAAGAATTTCTATGGCTCTAGCACCACATGATCTTAGCAAGTCATAAATGTTAATTAATTTAGACTCATACTACCTCCCTGAGATTAGGAAGTATAAGTAACACTCATTTATATATAGGGAAAATGACACAGTAGTTGACTTGCCTAAGTCACATAACAAGTCTGTGGCAGAATTGGGAGCAGAACCCAGATCTCCTTTACCTTGTTGCCCCTTACCCTGGACTGTGTTGTTATGGCAGATTTCTGGGCTGTGTATGTTATGTGTGGATAGGCTAGAATGTTCCCCTTATTTATAAAACTCAAGCATGGCTGATGGGGAAGGTAGCTCACAAAAGTGGACTATGTGGGAAAAAGAGCTGAGTTAACAGCGGAGAGCAATCCTGGATCTCATATGTATCTGAATAATCAAATCTTTATCAGCTGTGCTCTGAAAGAATTTCAGTAAAAGAGGTCACTAGGATTTGTTTTTTCTTATGCCAGAGCTGCTTCCCAACCTGCCAGCAATCTGAGACAGTTACATTTTTATATTGTACAGTCAAACCCTGCAATAAGGCGCCCCGCCATAACGCGAAATCGCATATAACGTGATCACAATTTGGCCCCCGTTTAAGACATACAGTAATACAGTACTGTATGTACCAGTGGTCCCCAATGCCATGACGCCTGCCAGGCAGGGGAGAGAAGCTGTGGCCCCGCGCCTGCCGGGGACAGTAAGCACCGGCACCCGCAGCCCTGTTGTTCTCTGTCCCCAGCAGGTGCGGGGCCACGGCTTCTCTCCCCTGCTGGGCACT